GGGGGGGGGGCTCGTTTGGTACCTGAGATCGAACTTGGGACCTTGCACTTGCGAGGCAGGTGGCGGCACCACTGAGCTAAAAAATCTCTGGCCCATGAACAGGCATTTTTCCAGGGAATGCCAAATCAGTGTGTCTATTTATTCTCAGTAAGGTTCCAAGGTCTTCCTTCTAGATTAAATGAGATCGAGGTCAACAGATCAGGGTTAGGAGTTCCAGTTCTCAGCCCTGGAAACTATGGCTAGAGAAAAAGGTGGGACTTGGCATACCAGCCAAGATGTGCCTCCACCAGAACCCTAACCTAGTGTCAAAGACAACTCCACTTTCTTATTCCAAAAGTCCCGAGTGTGGTGGCGCACCCCTGTAGTCCCAGCTCTCGGGAGGCAGAGGCAGGAGGATTGTTGTTAGAGGCCAGCCTGGGTTGCATAGTGAGTTCAGGGCCAGGAGGAACTACAAAGTGAGACCCTGTCTCAAAAAACAAAAAAACAAAAATACAAAACAAAACAAAACTCCCATGTAGCTGTAAATTTGTCTCAGGACCAGGTTTGGGATTGGCTGTGCTATGGAAAAAGAGACTCCGCCTCTCCCAAGCAGATGATCTCTCCACTTTCCCAATTCAATTACTGTGACTCTTCAATAATAGCTGCACTTCCTGCAGATGAAGCAAAAGACACGGGCAACCCTCAGGCCCTGGCTTGAGTGGGCATACGCCCCAATTCAGAGAAGAAAACCCTACCCGGAAGCCAGTGGGGCAGCCAGTGCAGGCCACAGGCACCAGCAGGTCCCACCACTCTCTGGAGGCACATGCCAACATCTGGACCTGCAACTGAGGCCAAACATCGGGGTGGAAACGTGGCCCACGGTGACTCAGCTCCCCTGGGACATCGGCATCTGATGTCTCCAGCAAGCACATCCTAAACTGTACCTTCCCCGTCACCACCCTGCTGTAAGTTCTCTGGCCAGCAGCTCAGCAAAACCTAATGGCTGGCTCGGCATCCCATTGCTCCAACTGGCTTAGGTCTGGGGACCCACCACAGGAGAGCCTTCTAAGAGGCCTGGCTGATTTAATCTGGCTAACGAAGAAAAACAACTTCCGGAGCTGCCTGTTTGATAACCCCTCAGAGCGCAGCTCCATGATGTCTCAAAAACAACAAAAAACCCCATGGGTTTAAATCAATTTCCATTCACTGGGACCCACCCACCCTCCTGTCTGGGCATTGCTGCCGTTCTTGTTTACGCACAGTTTAATATGTGTAACTTCTGCTTCCCTTCTGAGGAAAGAAGAGATGTATAATATAAATAGGCTTTGCCTAATGTAGGCAGTTTGGAAGAGACTGGTGGCCAATTTGGAAGAGTCTGGACAGATACAAAGCCAGCATTGCACCTAGCCAAAGCAGCACCTCTGTGGAGTTCAGGCGACAGTCTTACGGATCAGCATGAGGCAAGAGAACTTTCACTTCCACCCGATCTTCAATAATAAATGATAATTACAGAAGCAACAAATATGCGTGAAACATTTCTCAGCACTAGGCTCTATCTATGCCTACGCCCTCAGTGGTTGATTTATTGTCTCACTAGAGGATAGTATGCAGGTGTGGGTGATCAAGCAAGCCTATCTATAATCCCAGTACTCTAGGAGACTGAGGCAGGAGGATCAAGAGCCCAGCCTGGGTAACTAGTGACTGAGAGACTCTGATTTAAAGTAAACAGGAATGGGGATGCAGCTCTGTGCAAAGGCCCTGGGTACAATCCTCAGTATCACCAAAGAATGAAAGAAAGCATAAAATATCAGAGATACATCAAGTTATCAGGGAGGATTTGAACCCCGACGGCAGAGGCACTAACCGTAGCTGCAGCCCAGCTTCTAGAAGCCTGTGACACCTGGGTGTGCTTGCACTCTCACAGTTACGGGCGCCCCCTAGCCTCCTGTTTTCACTCAGCTCTCAGGGAGCCTCCTCAGCTGTCCTGGCACAACTCAGGGAATTGAAGCCAGCTTTTATCAGTATGGAGGAGAGGCGAGAGGGTTTCTGTCATTTAAGGTTCAGAGCTCAGGTTATTTTCACTCTCAGTTTTCCTTGCTGTCCTTCTGTCGCTTCGCTCCCCTGTACTGTCCTTATTTTTTGCTGTCCTGAAGTCGAATGGGTCTCACTTGTACAATTTCGCTACAAAGCAGTCCTTAAAAGGAAACCCTGGGGTGGAAGGGAATCCCATCTCCTACCCACCTATCAATAAAAGGGCACTTTTATTAATGGAGCTTCTAGTAC